GAAAATCTCCCTGTTCTCCATGCCATCTATAGTCACTCTTCGATTATGCAAGGAGCCTATTTCGTCTGCAGGTATTAACATGCCATTCGCTGCATGCAGGTGCTTACTCGCTTTGTTTATAAATATTGCACCTGTTTTGCTATAGAAACTGCTTTTGTTAGTGACACTCCGGAATCTGATACATACTCGAAAATTGTAATCAAAAGATTTTTAAATCGTTTCATATCCTGTGTCACTATGCCTCACACGTCCCGAGCAGATGACGCACTAAAGAGAAAATCTCAAAAAGCTCTACAATCGGGTGCTGTTGAATGTCCTGTCGAAACATTACGTTTGCAGTGTTTGTCAAGAGGCTCTGCTGGAATTATGGGTTTAGGACGGTAAGCTGATTTGAATGCATCGTTAATTTGAATGCATCGTTAAAGAAACATCTCATTTCGCTATCTGAATGTTCGCTTATGCATATCCCCACGCCGTGAAGCGCTGCTTTGCACTGAGTTTGAGAATGAATGAATGAAAATTTTTTAAAGTTAATGAAGACTCGACGATGTTTACGAGCGCGAAGCGCGAGTGTTTTCATACATTGTTTTCGAGTGTTTGGATATCCCGGTGAAACACTCGCTCTCGTTGTTTATATGGCTTCTCAAGTAAATCGAGACGTAACAGAATGTTTTCGTTTGCTGATTTGAATAGAATTCTTAACCAAGCATAACGTAATTAGGAATTCTATTCAAGTAATTTTGCATGCGTAATTAAGATATTTGATGAAAACACTAGTGACTTTCATTAAGTACCAAATGGCATCTTGTGATCAAATAAGTGATTATCATTGGCTGAATTGCTCATGAATTATTAATGAATTTGAGAAAGTGTATTGAAAAGTTCACTAGATACCTCCATACACATATATACTAACCCTAACCTTAAACCTAACCCTAACCTAGTACCTAACCCCTAACCTATATTGGTGCGCGAAACATGGAATGACAACCGATAAAACGGCATGTAGTAAAACACTGACTACCGGAACACCACCGGAACACCGGAACACCACCTAACCCTAACCCCAAACCCTAACCCCAAACAAAATGGTGGTGTTCCGGTGTTCCGGTAGTCGGTGTTTTACTACATGCCCATCCTCGTTCCCAGGGCTTCTCGGCTGCCTAGAAGCCCTGGGAACGAGGATGCTACATGCCCGATAAAACCACGTGTGCCACGCAGGAGATTGGGAACGATCTGAACGGAATAAACAATACTACGTTGTCATGGTGACGATGACGCCATGACGATTGTTCTTGCTTGCTGTTTTGATAAAAAATGGCGAGCACTAATAGACATGAGCGAGAAATGTTAAGTAAAGCAAAAAAGGCTTACGAATCGACGTCAGATCCCATTGAAAAATTAAGGCTTGCTTGTTTATCTCGAGGTTCATCCGGTATTAAAGGATTGGGAAGGTAGTTATATTTTGTTTATATGTTCATACAAATATACAGTACGTGTGGCCATATTTGAAATTTCAAATTTGTAGAGAGGTCAAGTATTTTGTTTAAGAGTCTGTACTCAGAAAATCCGGTGTTTGCCACCAACCTGACATGTTGCGTGACTAATTATCTAGAGTGTTCAAAATTATGGATGATGATGGAAATAGAACATTAGATTACAACGAATTTAAGAAAGGATTGAGAGATTATGGTCTTTATCTTGAACCAAAGGTTAGCAGGAGTATACATTTTGTGTATTGTAGTTTACACAACAATTTGCTTAATTGTTACATGTATAAATGTTTATTGTGTTGTGGTTATCCGTGTGATAACCAGATCCAAATTTGTAACCGTGCAAGTAGTTTGACATTACAGTAATTACTAATTATGTCTCAATCAATTCTATGGATGCCCATCCCCCCTGGCTTTTGTCTGGCATTGTCAACTGTACTTGTTCCCAGGGTTGTGCATTTGCTTTCTGCAGATTAGCCTCGGGGTGGAGAATTTGCTTGAGGCTAAAAAGTTGCTTGTTTCAAAACTTGGCCAAAACTTGTCGCTTGTTTTGCCATTTAGCCGTATTTTAATACGCACGTTTACATGTGCATGTGTATTGTGAATTAATCATGGTGGACATGAAGGATTTTCACGGACGGAGTATGGAGTTTGTTATTAACTACAGAATCAATTTTAAATACAGAGATATTAATACAAGATAGAGCCAGCATTAAATTTTTTGGTTCAGAAAACTTATATTTTGTCCCCACGGGTGGGGCATTTGCGTCAATGTAAGTCCCCAAGGACGGGGATTTTGTTGCATTATTTTGACCCCATGGTGAGGCATTTGCAACATGTTTTCACCAAAATGACAAATGCCCCACAAATGCTGGGGGAGGGGTGATGGGCACCCATGGAATTGATTGAGACATTATTCCCATTAATGTCAAAGAGTTCCCTGTACCCATTAATAAAGAGCTTTAGATTTGACCAAGAGAACAACTACAAGATTTGTTGTTTGCACATGCTCCCCATGTTCTTACACATGCAAGCTGTAATCTCATAGTACTCTGATGACTGTTTGTTTTCCTATCAATGAGACTTTTAAAAAATTCTGTTGTCAATTTGGCCTGCAAGGCTATGAGATTTTGGTCTTGTAGTCAAATCTAAAGCTGTCTAATGCCAGTTAGAGTGCCCCCTACTTATTCCTGTCACAGAGAAATCGAGAGCAAATCCTGATATAGTTATGACAGTTATTAATGGAGTAGATTAGCCATAAATGAGAACATCAACGCATTAAGTTGCATTGTGCCCCAATGTGCCCTACTTAATTATTTTACTCTGTCTAATGCCAGATTATTTTACTTGTCAAGGGGAGAGTGCTGGCCCTCAATGGGTTAATTAGTGGCAGTGTGCCATATTGCAAGCACAACTCAATTTTCTGCTTTCTGTTTGAATTGGTGAAAAAGTTCATAAGCCAATAACATAAATTCTGCTGTTGTATTAATTATTTCCTCAGTTACCAATTAACAGAGATTTTCCTGACCAGGCTGTCAACTAGTTGTTAGGCTTAATATAATCATAATTAGATCATGGATTGTAATACTTTCATGTTACGGTATACAATATTACTTTTCCAGGAAGTTAAGAATGTATTTGAGGCATTTGACAAAGATGGAAGTGGAAACCTAGATTTTGATGAATTTCTTGTCACACTCAGGGTAAGTAGGATTATTTGATGTGTTTTCCGGTGAAGAAGGGCTTTCAAGATTGTAAGATTGGTGTAATTAATATATATAGACACAATTTCTTATATCAACCCCTGCACATTGCATCAATCAACTGGACTAAAATGGGTTAAACTTTATAAATTAACCCCTTACATGGCAATGTGCCCTCGGCTGATGCACCGCATGACTGCACGCTATTTTTTGCTGTCTAATCAGGGTGTTAGCTAGCCCATATACTGTCCGTTTGACTGACTCTTCCCAATTGAAGTAGCTAAGGGGCTTTCCCAACTGGGTCTACTGGAAGATTTTCATTTTTTCTGATGAGAAAGTGTGTTGCGTTTGATTAATTTATTTTATTATATCAAAGAATATTGCGTTTCATTCATATTGGGTGTGTATTCACCAGGCCTGGATAAAGTATTTTTCTCTGGCAGCAAAATCCAAAAATAGAAATTTCCTGCTAAACTAATTAAAAAATTTCCTGCGAGAATTTTTTTATTTATAACTAAGAGAACAAGCACTAATGTGAAAAATAAAATTATATAATTTTAAAAAGTAGCTACTACACTCGACAGGGACATCAATGTCACTATAGTATGACTCTAACATCATTGAAATAATGTTTTTATTCTGGCTGTTCTGGGAAATTATTTAGCCTGAAAATTTGTCTTTCTGAGTTTCTGTTATCACTGATCATGCAGTGATGCAGTCATCACTCATCAGCATAATGTAACTATGTACTTATCCATGTATTGCAGCATTCTGTTTACAACCTTAGAATTGTTAGATACACCCACTGTGTCAAATAGGCTGATGTCATTCGATCTTCTTGCAAAGCGAATGCCATGCTGCCCTTTGAAATGTTGTTTCATAGCCGCCATCACAACTTTATCACATTGGGCTAGTGAAGGACCATGTACGCAGTATCCTCATTCACATTTCTAAATTTATTGAAGTGAATCTCAAACTTTGATGTCAATGATTCAATCACTGATTCCACAGAAATTTTCACAGCGGACACACAAATGGCAGGGCTGCAAATAAATATTTGACTTGACAGGACATTTGTCCGATCACTTTTAATTTTGGTCGGACATAACTTGAATTTAGTCGGACAAAAACCAACATCACTAAATTTGGTTGGACATATATACGTCACAAGATATATATAAGTCACAAGACAAGTATGTATAGCCATTCCGGCGCAACGTTAAGTAAAATGCTAGAATGCCTCGTAAATTTTATTGCAAAATTAGTACAAATTGAGTGAATTTGCAATCGGATTTTGTCACAGCAAAAAAATGTATGTGACAATTTTTTGTGTGTGAACGGACCAATGTCCGATCAAAATCACTTTTGCTCGGACATTTGCTAAAATTACTGTCGGACATTGTCCGATGTCCGACAGTAATTTGCAGCCCTGAAATGGAGTGGATATAATCATCTCAATTCCTTTGTACAACTTTTTGTCGCTGCGGAAAAATAACTTAATAAGCTCTTTGCTGTCGAAATCATCATTCTTTTTGTTTCTGACCACTTGCTCCAGCCGTACCAGAAATTCCTCGAATTGAAGAATTATGGTCTCGTCCGGAACCTCGTTAATGGAATTATTTTGCGTAGCGTCGTTATACTATACTTTGCTCTTTCGATATTCGAAATAAGGATGGCACCTCTCAATTTTATTCTAACTGCAGTGGTCTTCAAATCAGTAATCAACCTGGTATCCTCGATCATTTCTTTGTCTGACTGACTGAGAGAAGACTTGATCGCGTAAATCTTTCTGCAAGCGTGTGATGAGCAACAATACTTGCTTTGAAACATTATCTCGCACGTTTTCAGCTTTGTTTGCATTTGCTCATCTGGCTAAAGACCTTGTTACAGTTGGCCCCTCTTCGTCGTGGTCATCAACAATTGGTACACCCATGATATACAGGCCAAGAGCCGGATTTCGCGTCACATTTTCATGATTTGTTCCTTCTGACATATTCTTTCATGAGTAAGAGAGTGGACTTTCTGCACCACATTTACCAATTCTCCATACTTCTCATAAATATCAGTTATACCAGATAGTCTGAATACGAACTTGACATTGCAAATGGAATTCATGAATTTCTCTGCATCAGCAGCATTTTGCGGTTTTGCCTATCTTTCGAGTCACCGTCTCTCTTTTCAGTCTTTTTCATCTCGAGACAGTGCATAATTGTACGATAATCCTTACGAAAGTTCATATAAACTTTCCTGACACTATTTGCAAAACGAGCAGTGTTATACTTAGCTGGAAGTACTTATAATTGTCCCAAGGATGCACACGCATCTGCAAGTGCTTCGTAATTCTTCCCCCAATTGAAATTCTTGAAAACAGCTGCGGTAGTGGTTTTTTCAAGTAATCTTTCACATTATCTTTGACAACTTCAGCAACAGATTCCAGAAATTTCTGTAAATCGCTGTTTAATCGAAAGTTACACGTTCGTTGGTAAGGGCTAACTGCGCGTTTGAAACGTAAATTAAGACTGTTATTAATAACAAAGACAAAGTGAAAAACGTTCGCACTTCGCAGGTAGCGGTTGCCTGTAAATGCCTAAATGGTAGTATTTACTTTACAGAATACAGTGTAATCTGATTTACGTTCTCATACACTTGTATTCTAAATCTACTCGATATAGCAATTTGGAAATACAACTTTAACTATATTCTTCAAAGTGTCGAACCTAAAATAAATTATGAACAAAAAAATTTCCTGCGAGATACAAAAACATTCCTGCCAGTAATTTTTGCGAAAAATTTCCTGGCAGTGGCGCTGCCGGACATTTTCCAGCCCTGGTATTCACAGAAATGAAATGTACAAAACAAAGTGTAATCGGTGTGCATCCGTGTTTATTCACCGGAATTGAAATATACAAAACGAAGTGCCATCGGGTGCATTTTTTCAGTGTTCATTCACCGGAAATGAAATGTACAAAAAAAACCAAGCTACCGTTGTTTGCATCTAAGGAGAAACACGTTAGAAAAAAACACTATTTATTCCTACACAAGGACTTTGATCGGTCGAAAAAACTTTCCCAATTTACGTTTAACGGACAAAACTTTTTTTTCTGGCTAACACCCTGCTAACAACATACTATTTTAAAAGAGAGAGTGTGCATGCATTAGAGGTGTGCATCGGATCGGATTGGACGTTTATAATCCAACAATTGGCTAATGTTTAAAATCCAATCCGATCCGAAATTGTCTAATCCGAATCCGATCCGAGTTGTGATAAAGAATTCCAATCCGATCCGAAGAATCCTTTACAAAATAGATTTCTCATTCAAGTTGAAATGTTTAACCAAATAAATATAAAAACAAGAAATACATGTCAAGAAGCTGACAAAGTGACGTCCAATTAGCCTTCTCACGCCGCCATTTTTGGGGTACTGTAATTTTTCGTAAATGATTATAACAATATGAAAAGCAATATTTCGGAACAAACTAACTACTTACAGAGTAAATTTACCATCATACACCCACAAAATTATAAAATGTCGCCGTTACGTGGTGTTACGCTCGCAGGATTGGCAAAAAAGTACCCCAAAAATGGCAGCGTGAGAAAGGCTAATTGAAGTATCAAACGAAAAATGCAGCGAGAACCGCGATAATGTTTTGATAAATGCATGGATAATTAATTCTTGCAATAATGCCTGGATAATTAATTCATTTTATTTCGGATATCGAAGTCCGATCCGACTACGAAACAACTTTATCAATCCGATTCGAAATGTATATTTTTGTTCCGAAATCCGAACGAATCCGATCGGATTTGCACACCTCTAGCATGCATGCTGCCACTCAGATGCATGGCTGTGCATCCTCATGTTACCCTTGATGTGACAATGCACCCTGATGCTATAACGAGCCTGTATTTTCATTTTGAAAATATTAATATGTAATTGAACAAGGAGGGAAAGCAATTTCAAACTTTTTTGGTGGATGTAGTACCATTTGCGAATAATGAATAAACTAAAGCATTTTTAAAATCTCCTCAGTACGATAATTATTCAGACATGCATTATTCTTTTAGCCACCAATGAGCAATGCTCGAAAAAGAGTAATTAATGAAGCATTCAAAAAGCTGGATAAAACAGGAGATGGAAATATTACTATTGAGGATCTCAGAGGGTAAGTGAAATCGTATATCTTTTTATAAAATTCAGTATGCATATTGCAACGTTGTATGCAACCTGTAAAATTGTTCCATGAAATTTTTGTGCTTTTGTTTAAAATTTTTAAATTACATTACAAAGCTTTAATATATTAAGCAAACATATCAGTAAGATATGATTGTGATGTTACTCTGAGTGTATATCCACACCGGGCGAGCTTGAAAAATATGCCCGGCCAAGGTGGGAATCGAACCTACGACCTTTGGAATACTAGCCCAATGCTCTGCCAACTGAGCTACGTGGTCAGGTCGGTTCGAGTAAGTGATATTTCGGAACAGAATCTAGTTCCTTCGATACCAATGTAATCTTGTAATATGATTTTTTTTCCTTACTCGAACCGACCTGACCACGTAGCTCAGTTGGCAGAGCATTGGGCTAGTATTCCAAAGGTCGTAGGTTCTATTCCCATCGTGGATCATATTACAAGATTACATTGGTATCGAAGGAACTAGATTCTGTTCCGAAATATCACTTACTCGAACCGACCTGACCACGTAGCTCAGTTGGCAGAGCATTTGGCTAGTATTCCAAAGGTCGTAGATTCGATTCCTACCGTGGCCGGGCATATTTTTTCAAGCTCGCCCGGTGTGGATATATACTCAGAGTAACATCACTTGTAAACATATCATATTCACGTGAGTACACAACACTAGCACAGAAAAAAATATCATATCAGTAAGAATTATTACCATATATGTCTCGTACATATATTGTCACTGTTAACTCTCAGCCTCATCTCTGCCACTGGGCATTGGTTTAATATTAAGGACAACAAACAGGACATGGTTTAGTCGACGTGTAAATCATCTAATGTCACAACTAAAATGTAAATATTTGTAAAGGCAATTTTTTTTCATTTTTCATAACTCGATGCTGACATACTTGCTATTATGCACCTATATTTATTTTACTATATTCCCAAAGCTTTGCAGTAATAAATTTACGTGGTGTTTCCACAAACAAAAAACAATTATATTTTATCGCCATGCAAACATTCAAAGAACTTACTATATTTCCATTGTAATTTTAAATGTATGACAACACTTTGCCAATGCAACACAATCGCCATGCTATGTTTACATACGGACTGTAACGCGTTAGTTTAACTACTTTTATTGCTGGCTTGGGCAAAAACGAGAATCAAAATGTTTCGCAAACTAAGATCTTTTCTTTTTTCGTAGTGTCTATAATGTGAAGCATCATCCGAAATACCGAAATGGGGAGTGGACGGAAGAGCAATGTTTCAGAACGTTTTTAGATAGCTTTGATTCGCCAGATGATAAAGATGGACGGGTAAGTGCACAAGAAATATTTCATGATTATATTCATTTTTGTAAGGGGATCATATACTTTTCCTTTAGGTTTCGGGTATCAAATACGTTAAAAATAAGAATAAATTCCATTAATAATAATACAAATACCAATAGACTTTTCTTATAATGACGTCATCACGTTATCAACCCTTTATGCCTTTAAACATTAATTCGGAATAGCCCAATGTGTGCCAAGTCATTTTCCCGTCGAGTTTGAGGCAGCACTTTCCTTGCGATAGTAACTCCTAGTGTTTTTTAATGTATAGATCACGATGGACGAATTTCTCAACTACTACAGCGGTGTAAGTGCCTCGATTGACAACGATGCCTACTTTGATCTCATGATGAGGAATGCTTATAAACTCAAATAAAATTGTTACAGTACTCTTATTGTTAAGATGATATATA